GGCACAATTTAATGTGAAATAGTTATTACAATTATTATTAATAGTTATTACAATTATTATCATTGATCCAGTAATGATAGAAGGATAGTAGAGGAAAGGCAAGGGATTAAATCTCATTTAGGGAAAGAAGAAGAGTATGAAGATATATTAGGGAGAAAATACCATTAACTGAGGGATATAAAACGTTTAGCTGAAAAAGACAACAGGAATAATTTACCTTACACCCTAATATAGACATTAGACCATACCAGAAGTAGAGATGGCAGGATCACCAGTAGCAATCATGAAGAGAAGGTTCCCAGAAAATAGTAAGGAGGGAACATTTGATGTAACCGTGATTGTATTGGCTAAAAAATGAAATATGACATTTACAGGGGAAACAGGAACAATATAAGGGGAGACAGATTTTCTTAGGGGGTTGATCAAATAATTGATAATGGATCATTTGAGATGAGATCACATGTAGCAGATTTAGGGTAATCAATTAAATAATCATTGTATACTCAAGGAATTTTGAGTGGTTTTATGGATTAGTTATGAGGAATTAGATTGATACAAACAATTATTGATGGGTTAGGACTGGGGATATCTGTATCATGTTTTGTGTGTACTACCATCTTTAGATTACTGATGGTAATTGAAGGTTAACAAAATTTATAACCAGGAGAAAGAGATTAGCTTATCTCATTGGAATGTTGCCGAGGGCGAGGGGGAGCAGTAGTGAAGTTCGGCAGTGAGCTACCAAATCAAGTGGGGCCTGGCTATTTGTGGTTGTTGTTTTTCAAATTGGGTTTTTCAAATAAAAAACAACACACCTAGTATGATGGTTATAAAGGGTTGTTATGTTAAAATTAGGCAGTATTTAAAAATAAGGGATGGCAATTGGATGATAAATTACCAATATTACCTAAGTGATTGTTTAGGTAGGTGGTAATATTGACACATGGGCAAAACATGTGTCAAAAGGGGGATGGTAGGATTAAATAATAAATACATACGAAGGAGAGGACAAAAAAAAAAGAGAATGCAGTCAGAAATAGAAATTGAGAGCTGAACATGTGTGAAGATAGTTTATTAACCACACCCGTATGTCAGAGGTTTTGTGCCCCACAGGTGAACTAAAGGAGAAGGTGACTCACTCTATCTAACCAGGTGACTGGTGAGCATCCAGTCCCTAAAGAAGAAAAACTGGAAGCAGGCCTGTTGGGAAGGGCCCTATCAGGTTATATTGGTCACTGCCTTTGCCATTAGAATAGCAGAAAGAGCAACCTGGGTCCACGTTACCCACTGCAAAGAGGTAAGAACACATACAAGCACCATTGAACACACGCAGAGTTAGAGAGAAGAACTGGACCAATAGGGTCTGGGGATCACCTCTGTTAACGAAAATCTCCTACCCCGACCTATCATCACTGTAGTGTGTTCTCAGGGTGTGAGTATGGGGTAGTACCAAGCAGAAAGACTGAGGACAGGAGAGGGTTGGCGGTTTTTGGGAATATGGATAACTTGAGTTGCATCATAGTCTCGGCAATGGTCTTGATATGTCAAGATCCACCACCAGTTGTGCTATGCCCTTACCATTGTTAAGAAGTAAAAGAGAAGAGAAGCGACCCGACATACTGACCGTCAAGGACGAGTGGCCTACAAAATGGGAGTCAGAGAAGGGCAGACTGTCAGATTCAAAATAAGGGTTAGGGACGTAGCCAACGGGTGGGGTACATGTCAATAAGCAAATTGGGATTATAAAATCCTATTATATTCGTGTTCGGACCCCCACGGCGGATTGTTCCTAGACTCAAGTGTGTAAATACACTTGGGGGTGGGGATATGAGACCGAGGGGGCTGGGCATCCAGATGGGGGGTAAAGAGAAACAAAGACATCACCAATTATCAATTGGAGATAGTAGTAATGTGACGGACTTAAGTTCGGAAGCACAGGAGAGAATTCTGAGCCTTACAGCCCCTGTAACCGATGTGTGGTGGGCATGTGCCAGTAAGGGCAGTGTAAGGCAGAGAATTCCAAAGGGGTGGCTAGATACGTGCGCCCTGGTTATACTGGTTCAACTAGTTAGAATTAGTCACCAGGAACCAAGGATTAAACAGATGGAGGAGGAGTTTTAACAAGATGGAGAATATCCCTATTTAGATGGATGCGATTGGGATACCAAGGGGGGTATCGGATGGATACCGAGCTATGAAACAATTAGGGGAAGGGTTTACTACCATGTTCTTTTGGTGGGTGAAAATAAACAGAATTGTGGATTGGATTAATTATATCTATTACGACCAACAACGATTTATTGGCTGGACTAGGGATGCAACGGAAGGGATCTTTTGAACAATTATCCGCCATCTCACTCCTATGACTTAGTAAAAAGAGGTTGGCTCTAGATCAGGCAGAAAGAGGTGGTGTCTATAGAATGGTAAGCCATTGTTGTACGTTTATCCCTAACAATACCAGTCCTGATGGGAGTATCTCTAAAGCCCTAGTTGGTTTAGATAAACTATCAGCTGAAATGAAGAGCATGGCTGGAATGGAGGGAAATGGACTGTTCTCCTGGTTGGGGGAGTGGTTTGGTAAGTTCGCATCATTGGTGGTTACTGGATTTCTGACCCTAGTAGTTGTGTTTCTAATATTAATGTGCTGTACTGCCTGTGTAATTCCTTGTTTGAGAAAGTCTGTTACAGATGTTGTGCATGCGGCTGGTATGATGCCCCTCCTAGGGGCTCAAGAAGGGGATGCAGACACTGAGATGGGGTTGACAAAGGATGACCCTTGGTTTGCTATTGGTGAGGTGGTGGAGTGACACCCTAATGGGTGTCTAAAGGGGGCCAAAGTTTACTTCCCTGTTTATGTTTTATGCTTTATTAATCAAGTTAACCATTGTGAATGTTTGTCTTTCCTTATGTGAAGGTTTGAAGTTCCTGGGTGGCTGGTAGCCAACCTAGTACAAGTTAGGCATAGATGGAAGGACTGAAGGCCTTTTTTTTAAATTATCATTATTGCCTATTAATAAAAGTGTGATTCTTTTTGTTTGTATTGTATTTTAATGAGTGACACCCTAGTGGGTGTCAAAAGGGGGAATCCTACATTTCCCTGAAATTTCTTATTTTGGGTTTTCTTATTTTGGGTTCACACCCAGTGGGTGTGAAAAGGGGGATTGTGGGAAATTATTCTCTTATATTTTAGATGTGCTGTTAGCTTAGAAAGAATACATTAATGATTAAACATAATAGGTTTGTGCTGTACTGATATAGACTGTTTAATATAACAAGCTGTGATTAATGTGAGGAACGTTAGGGGGTAGGATGAGATAAGACTTGTGTCTCACATACACAAACACAGCCTCTTTGTTAGACCGCTCAAGGACATGTGTACTGCAAAAGTGCTGACTGTCTGGTTGCAAAACAACCAACACCTGGCAACAGTGAAGCGCCAAGGGCCTGGGACCAGCCTGTGCGCCAACGATAGGCTGAGTAAGTCTAAACCAGCTCAGACTCTACTCTGATAGGCCTGCTTGGAGCAGGAACTATCTCTGTCAGAGTATTTAAAGAATAACTTATAACAATGGCTTAGTTCTCTGTCTGCCCTGCGTGGTATTTCAGTGGACCCCTATATACGAACATCATATTTACCATTGAAGTGTTTTGCATTAATTAAAATACTAGTCTATTTTAGAAGAGGTGTATTGACCTCTTTTTGTTCCAATACCAGATTTGAATTGACGCAACTGAACACCAGTAACCGAGAGGTGTGCCCTTGAGCAAGGCACTTAACCCTAATTGCTCCTGTAAGTCGCTCTGGATAAGAGCGTCTGCTAAATGACTAAAATGTAAATGTATACGGCGTTTGCAGGAGTAATATCCAGGGGGAGTGGCCAAAACAACAGCAGAATAACTAGGCAACTGGCAGGTAAGACATCTGCTCCTCATTCTCTAAGAATGTATCTTTCTCGTGAAATACGGTAAATGCTGTGTACATTTAAACGTGCATTCTCTGGGACTTAATTTCTACCTAAACAGACTACCCTATGTGGTCGCAGTAATAGCTGTTAGCATTGTAGCTAGCTAAAACGAACCGTTATCTATATTTGACTTCACCAGCTACTTGCTGGCTGCTGCTAGCCAACGTTACTTCGGTAGTTAAATGCTAGCTTTTGGTTGCACGACTACACGAGCCATTTCTTAAGTTCTAAAGATGTTAAATGTGTCACTGTTCAGAGAACAATCAGTTTGCAAATTAGGTAAACGTTATATTTGTCCGTGAAGCTAGTAAATCAATTCCTTCCAACTTTGACCATCCAAAAAGATGTCAGCATCGAGCTAAATTAGCTAGCTACAGCCAGTTTGAGTAACGTTGAATGTGTAGCAGGCAACATTCAAACAAAAACTTACATTCAGTCACTGACTGTACAATTGGGCAGAAGGCTATTGGCTATGTCAACATGTTTAAATTCCACAGCTCTTGTCATGATAGGTAACTAGCTAGTAGTCCAAAGACTTTTTTTTTTTACAGCAAATTTGAATATATTGTCCTGGACCTGTTCTTTAGTCATTTTAGCTGATGACAGTTTTGATTAGGATAGGTATCCTATTTTGGTTATGTGAATAGAGAAGGAGAAATAAGACCAACGTGGCAACAAGTGATGTGTCTAAGCTAAGCACACACAAAGGGAGGCTACAGTTAAAGCCTAAGATTACTATCCAGGACATCCCAGAATAGTGTACATTGAAAGACAATGGATTGCAATTGTGTCAACATGATACCAAAGAGCAAACAGGTGTTACTGTTTCTTTTGGATGGAGTGGAGCTGGGAGTATATAGAGACGGGCATGTATAGATTAAACATCTCAGTGAACAGCCAATGTAAAGTACTGTGAATTCTGTTGTCGCCTAGCCTCTGTCACATGCTTTCACTGAAGCCTGGGTGCCTGAGGCTACTTTTTGCATAATGCCCTAGGAAGTGTCAATGAAACTGAAATATTTTCTTCTTCATATCCAGGTACAGCACTCAGAGGAATTGAGTTCCTCTAAGTGACACCCCTTCATTCACATGCAACTATATTTTCTGGAAAATCAACAAAATAATGTAAAGTAGGCCTAATGCTTTTTTACATTACTGACAATGATTATGAAACTCGTCCAGAACGTTGTGTCATCATAGGTTGAATGACCTGGTGCTCTCTACTCAGTCATTTCTCCTGTGGCTGTTGCAAAGGAGAACCAGATGTCCTAAACCAAGATTGAAGCCTCCCACATTTTTGGGGATTTAGTACCTGTACAACCAATCAGCCATGGGAGTCTGTCCTGCTGTGTCCAGGTACTTCCGGAGGTGCAAATATATGATACTGTTGCTGCTCTCGGTCTCCGTTTTGGCTTGGATCGCCACTTTTGCCGGTGAAACAGTGAAAGCAAATCAGGATACCCATAGGTCAGCACAGACACTTGAGGATAATGCTGAGGTCCTGAGGGGGGGCAAGCAATACTCCAGCAGATCAGTGACGCAAGTCTTCTCCAATCCTCTCCCTGATACCCCACCACCAAAAAAAAGCTGTCCTGAGAAATCACCACTGCTTCGTAAGTAGGGCTACACAGTATCCACAGATGTTATTGTAAGCTTAATACAGGCTTTGCTATAGCTTACTTACTGATGATAATGCTATGTTACTGTGTGTAAGTATGAAAAAAATGTATGGACTCACTACTTGTAAGTCGCTCTGGATAAGAGCGTCTGCTAAATGACTAAAATGTAATTCCTTGTAAAGAACATTATGTACAGTGTGGCTTACCCCCTTTATATAGCCTCGTTATTGTTATGTACCTTTCTTGTGTTACTTTTAGATTGTATTTTTTTTACTTTAGTTTATTTAGTAAATATATTCTTAACTCTATTTCTTTAACTGCATTGTTGATTAAGGGCTTGTAAGTAAGCATTTCACGGTAAGGTCTACACCTGTTGTATTCGGCGTATGTGACAAATAAAATGTGATTTAACGTGGAGAGAAGAACATTGGTAATCAAGTGAATACTTTAATGTGCAATGTAGGGGTTGTAACTGCCAGATGTATTACTCATTAACATTGCTAAACTGAGGCTCATTTGATTATTTTCACATGCTGTAGCCTATTTGCTAACAGTTTGCATGTAGCCTACATACAATGGCTCCTTGTTGACAGGAAGTGTACAACCGTTGTAATTGTATTGTATTGGCCTACACCATATGGGAGGCAGATGGCACAGCGTTACAGTGGGTTTCCATCAACACAAATTCATGTTTGAAGACGGCTTGTGTTTATGTCCGTGGCCCAAACAGAATGCACACACGCATTTGTAATTATCTGTCCAGACCATGCTATTTTTCAGTTCATGATATTTAGCCACACTTTTTATTTAAATTAGTGCCATGTAAATATATTGCAATGGAGTTGATGGATTTAAAGCATAGATAATGAATTTGTCCATAAGACGTTACAATTTAGTTGTCTAGATTTTCATTATGCCTATTATTTTCTGCCTACAGAGGGAGCCCTGAAGCTCACATTCGAGGACTCTCTAACGCTGAAGGAGGTGGAGCGTGAGAACAGTGGAGTGGCTGCGGGCCAATACCAGCCTCCAGACTGCCTCGCCCAGCAGAGTGTGGCCATCCTCATCCCTCACCGTAACCGGGAGAAACACCTCCTCTACCTCCTGCATCACCTTCACCCCTTCCTCCAGAGGCAGCAGCTGCACTATGGCATCTATGTCATCCACCAGGTATTACTCTCATATGAAGTTACAGTACATGATGTCATTTCCTCAATTATATTTGTATTGATTTTGAGCCGATAAGGGTTACAAACGTTGAAATTGAAAGAGGTTGATGTTTGTGGTTGATTTGTGTGTTGTGACAGGCTGGAGAGGTGACGTTTAATCGTGCCAAGCTACTTAATGTGGGGTACTTGGAGGCACTCAAGGACTACGATTGGGATTGCTTCGTTTTTCATGATGTGGATCTGGTTCCAGAGAACGACAACAACCTATACAAGTGTGACCAACAGCCTAAACACTTAGTGGTCGGCAGGAACGCCACAGGATACAAGTAAATATCTTAGCTCTCAACTCATGTCAACCTTTATGCAAAAGAAGGTAAATGTCTATATGCCATCACAACAGCATCCGAAGTGATGTTGCAGCTATCACTATATATGGACTATTCATACCAAATTCACTTTTTAACATTTCAATTATTACTAACGTTCAATCAAAGTCCCCTTTGTTTGTTTTTGCTCTCGTAGATTGCGATACAAAGGATACTTTGGAGGGGTGACGGCCATGACGAAGGACCAGTTTCACAAAGTGAATGGATTTTCAAACACTTACTGGGGATGGGGTGGGGAGGATGATGACCTTCGCATCAGGTGAGACCCCTATTACTTTTCAACATGGTTAGGGCTGTGGCGGTCATGAAATTTTGTCCACCGGTTATTGTCATGCAAAAGACTGCCGGTCTCACGGTAATTGACCGTTAATTAACATAAACATGTTCAGCATCTCCAGCACTCAACTCATACAAGCTGCTGATGTGCGCCTTTGGAACATCTACATTTTGAAAAAAAGTATAATTTAATATACACCATCACAATAAATCCATTATTTATTTTAGTCAAACCTAAAGAAACATTATGATATGAATAAAATGTATTTCAGAAGAACAGAATATGAGTTGGCCTACTGTAGGCCTATGTTATCTGGCTATGCTCCATGCCATAGGCTGTAGGCTTGTTCATTTAGCTTTCAAGATATGCTTATAAGTTTTATTTTATATGATTTTATAGTAAGAAGAATATAATTGAACAGCTGAATAAAATAGAAAGGATATTTTTCCCATTCCATAGCGAGTGCGCATATGAAGTGGCTATGTTGAGTGTAAAAGTGATCATTTGAAACAGGTTCTATATGCTAGATTTAGAGTTATTTGGCAACTTTAGTTGTGAATGATACAAACCTTAGAATGTCTTAGAAATCAAAACATAAATGGGCTGTATGGTGCGACTATGGGCTTTTGATGATTTGGGAAGTAGCAAAATAAAGCTTGCGCTCTGTCCTTTGCCTCAGGCTGCACAGCTGTTCTCTCATCAAGTGATCATATTTTCACGTCAGACTATTCTCTATTTAATCTTGTCTTTACTAATATGTAAAATTAGTTTTGATTTAGAGTGGCCCATTATTGCAGGGGCAGGGGAAAAAATACATATAAATAGCGAATGGAGGCCAAGTGCTTTCCCGCCGGTCTGTTTTGTAGGCTACTTCGGTTTTATAGCGGAGCATGTGCTTAATATGAGCAGCTGAGAAATAAATATAAGAACACTTATTTCACTCCACGCATCAACCACTGTTTGAGGAGCATGCTCTCGCTGCGCAACAAGTAATATTCCGCCCAAACTCTGTATGCCATGGGCTCGCCGACCTTGTTCCTGCAGCTACCCAATGCTTTATTTGGGAAACCAAGTGAAATCTGTTTGGGAACATCAATAGTAACTATTTTTTCGTAACAAAACATATTTTACTAAACTTTTGACAGCCTGTCTGCGCGTTTGAGAAAGGAATAAAGGAGAGAGAGGAGGAGATGGAAACGCATGGTGGTGAGATTCTGTATAGCTAAAGGTAATGTGCCACCCAATTTAATTATGAAAATATAAAAATTCCCTATTGTTAGGCTATTCAAAATCAAATACAAATTCACTAATTGTAGGCTAACTGTAAGCTGCCCTGCACAATCAATGAACCAACAGCATTGCTAAATGTTCTCTCCCAGACTCATTTATAGATATTTTGGAGTGTAGCATAAGGTAACCAGTCCATCCAGTATGCATAGTAATACAGTCCACACTCAAAGGCGATTATTAGATTTTGTTTAATTTTGGAGTACAGGCTAGACCAATTATGTACCAAAGACATCTTAAATCAGTTTTGTTGTATGTTTATCTGCCATGCGTAATATGCGGTAGACTATCTATGTATTGTATAAGGGCACAATCATAAATTAAATTCAGTTATTTTTTCGGGCTTGGGCTCATAAGCTAATGCATAAGCTCTAATATGCATACAGTGGGGAAAAAAAGTATGTAGTCAGCCACCAATTGTGCAAGTTCTCCCACTTAAAAAGATGAGAGAGGCCTGTCATTTTCATCATAGGTACACGTCAACTATGACAGACAAATTGAGAAGAAAAAAAATTCAGAAAATCACATTGTAGGATTTTTAATGAATTTATTTGCAAATTATGGTGGAAAATAAGTATTTGGTCACCTACAAACAAGCAAGATTTCTGGCTCTCACAGACCTGTAACTTCTTCTTTAAGAGGCTCCTCTGTCCTCCACTCGTTACCTGTATTAATGGCACCTGTTTGAACTTGTTATCAGTATAAAAGACACCTGTCCACAACCTCAAACAGTCACACTCCAAACTCCACTATGGCCAAGACCAAAGAGCTGTCTAAGGACACCAGAAACAAAATTGTAGACCTGCACCAGGCTGGGAAGACTGAATCTGCAATAGGTAAGCAGCTTGGTTTGAAGAAATCAACTATGGGAGCAATTATTAGGAAATGGAAGACATACAAGACCACTGATAATCTCCCTCGATCTGGGGCTCCACGCAAGATTACACCCCGTGGGGTCAAGATGATCACAAGAACGGTGAGCAAAAATCCCAGAACCACACGGGGGGACCTAGTGAATGACCTGCAGAGAGCTGGGACCAAAGTAACAAAGCCTACCATCAGTAACACACTACGCCGCCAGGGACTCAAATCCTGCAGTGCCAGACGTGTCCCCCTGCTTAAGCCAGTACATGTCCAGGCCCGTCTGAAGTTTGCTAGAGTGCATTTGGATGATCCAGAAGAGGATTGGGAGAATGTTATATGGTCAGATGAAACCAAAATAGAACTTTTTGGTAAAAACTCAACTTGTCGTGTTTGGAGGACAAAGAATGCTGAGTTGCATCCAAAGAACACCATACCTACTGTGAAGCATGGGGGTGGAAACATCATGCTTTGGGGCTGTTTTTCTGCAAAGGGACCAGGACGACTGATCCGTGTAAAGGAAAGAATGAATGGGGCCATGTATCGTGAGATTTTGAGTGAAAACCTCCTTCCATCAGCAAGGGCATTGAAGATGAAACGTGGCTGGGTCTTTCAGCATGACAATGATCCCAAACACACCGCCCGGGCAACGAAGGAGTGGCTTCGCAAGAAGCATTTCAAGGTCCTGGAGTGGCCTAGCCAGTCTCCAGATCTCAACCCCATAGAAAATCTTTGGAGGGAGTTGAAAGTCCGTGTTGCCCAGCGACAGCCCCAAAACATCACTGCTCTAGAGGAGATCTGCATGGAGGAATGGGCCAAAATACCAGCAACAGTGTGTGAAAACCTTGTGAAGACTTACAGAAAACGTTTGACCTGTGTCATTGCCAACAAAGGGTATATAACAAAGTATTGAGAAACTTTTGTTATTGACCAAATACTTATTTTACACCATAATTTGCAAATAAATTCATTAAAAATCCTACAATGTGATTTTCTGGATTTTTTTTCTTCTCAATTTGTCTGTCATAGTTGACGTGTACCTATGATGAAAATTACAGGCCTCTCTCATCTTTTTAAGTGGAAGAACTTGCACAATTGGTGGCTGACTAAAAACTTTTTTCCCCCACTGTATGGTGTTTTTTGAGTTAATCATCACCTTAGAAAGCGCTGTCCATTTCGCTGTGTTAGGCTTTGAAACAACATCCACAACAACCATGTTTTATACTGTTTCAAATTGATCATCACAGTGAGGTGAGTTTTAAAGGTATGATAGGCCTACTGTTTTGATGACAAGTGTTTGATGTGATTTTAGATTGCATTTGCATTGATGTCAGAGTGGTTAGAGGGACAATAAAGCCCTGAGCACCAGGTCATTAGCAACCTGATGATAGTTAGCAGTGCATAAAAGGAGATTACCGTGACTCAACGATCACGTGGAATTTTACTGCGGTCTTAATGTAACATTTTGGACCTCACTCCATTTCTGTCCTACGTCTTAGTCAATACGGAATGTTATTGATTGATTTAATTTGTCTCTGCTAGGGTGGAGCTCCAGAAAATGAAGATTATACGGCCACCCCCTCTTATAGCACGCTATACCATGGTATTTCATAAAAGAGATAGCGGAAACGAAATTAATAAAGACCGGTGAGTCACTGTGGACACATCAATTATAAATTGCTTGCTGTAATTATAATTATTAGCCTATTCGTCATTTTAATTCATTTTATTCTGAAATTGTGTCTCCTTTACAGGATGCTCTTGCTAGGACGAACACCTCAAGTCTGGAGAACAGATGGCCTTAACACCTGTTCCTACAGTACTCTCTCAGTTGAGAGGCCTCTTCTGTACATTAATGTCACAGTGGACATTGGCAAACCACTGCACTGAGGCTTCAGAGCATCTGTCTTTCTTTACTGTATTGAATACAGTAATTGTGATCTGGTATGTCCATGCCTACATGTTATGTACCTGACCTTGCTGTGACTTGATTGTTTCAACAAGTATTTGCATTCTCATAGAGCATGTTGTCATATTTTTTATTGTAAAGAATCCTGGATTTGGTCATTTCTTAAAATATCTGGTTGTCAAATAAAAATGGGAACCAAGAGTTGCTCTCAAATCACTCCTACATGAATTGATGAATGTAGAAGGTAACATTGGGGAACAAGGGACAACATGGGACACATTTTCATATATGAATCATTCTCACATTTGTGAAAGTATGCTACATGGAAATGGAAATTAATTGGAATTTTTATGAAATCTTGTTAGAACAGCCGACAACGATATCACAGTGTCGATGGCTTCATTTTAAAGACATCACAAGTTTGATATTTTTGATATGCTGCTACAAGATTTGTGAAGTACCTCAAACACTCATGTTGTCAAATTTCTAATATTGTATAATACTTTTTCTGTTGCCTTAATTAATCCAGTTATAAAATAACCAGAGGTCAGGTCAAATATATTGGCACCCTTGCATGATTCACTATTTCTTCTACAATAAGTTGAAATTAACCCCAAAAAATTGTTCTTCACGTGTATTTGTTTGATTTACAACTGCACAGGACAAAAAAAAAAGGAACTGATATTGCGATTTTTCACTTCAAAGTCAAATGGCCTGCATTAACTAAAATAGCAATTCAACCAGTAAAAAATAAATAAAATAATTCTGCTCCATTGAAAAGGTACAAGGGTGCCAATATTTTTTTGCGTATATCTAGATCCTTGTGGTTCATCTTGAGTCGAAGCAAGTTGTCCCATTTAGGCTGTTAAGAGCCACCTACTCTCTTTATGTGACACTCACCGTTTTGATCGAATGTATTCTTAGTCTATGCCTGTTTTAACAATGTTATGTATCAAATCAAATTGGACTACTGTGTTTACATTTAAAAAATATGGTTTTGGTATGGCCTGCTCTTTCACATGTATGCTTCTGTAAGTTATGCCTCATTCATATTTGAATGGTGTGAGGTTACAGCTATATAAGTAGTACTATAGCGTTCAATATTTGTTTGTTTCTGTGTTCCTACTTTATCTGATATAGCTGTAATGATTGATGTTAGAATATTTTTTGGGATGCCATAATGACTGATTAATTAAGCGTGCCTTTTTCGATGAGACCTTTCTCTTTTGAATGTTTTCCTTTCAAAACAAATTTTTTTGTCTTGTAGATTATCATATGGTGGGGAGACGCATGAATCAGATGGAAGTTGTGAATTCATGAGAAATAAATGATCTATTTCTATAAACAAAATGTCATTTTCAAGTGTGTTTTAGTTAGGGGTAGTCTTCAATTTGCAATGTATTGTTCTGCAACATGGCTTTGAATAGCCTAGTAGCCTAGTGTAATGTGTTTGTTTTGACAGTGGGTTGACAATACTGATTTCTAAAGTAGGGTCCTTAGCTGAATTTAAACAAAGTCCCTGTTCTTCACCCTCTGCTTTGCTCTACAAATGATGCACAATATGGAATGTAAAACGTTTTTATCTATACTGAACAAAAATATAAATGCAACAATTTCAACAATTTTACTGTTACAGTCCATATAAGGAAATCAGTCAATTGAAATAAAGGCCCAGCCAACCAGAATGAGTTTTTCCCCACAAAAAGTATTTATTACAGACAGAAATACTCCTCCGTTTCATCAGCTTTCCGGGTGGCTGGTCTCAGACGATCCCGCAGGTGAAGAAGCTGGAAGTGGAGGTCCTGGGCTGGCTTGGTTACACATGGTCTGTGGTTGTGAGGCCGGTTGGACGTACTGCAACATTTTCTAAAACGACGTTGGAGGCGGCTTACGGTAGAGAAATTAACATTAAATTATCTGGCAACAGCTCTGAATGACATTCCTGCAGTCAGCATGCCAATTGCACACTCCCTCAACATCTGTGGCATTGTGTTGTGTGACAAAACTGCACATTTTAGAGTGGCCTTTTATTGCCCCCAGCACAAGGTGCACCTGTGTAATGATCATGCTGTTTAATCAGCTTCTTGATATGCCACACCATTCAGGTGGATGGATTATCTTGGCAAAGGAGAAATGCTAACTAACAGGGATGTGAACAAATGTGTGCACACAATTTGAAAGAAATAAGCTTTTTGTGCATATGGAACATTTCTGGGATCTTTTATTTCAACTCATGAAACATGGGACCAACACTTTACATGTTGCGTTTATATTTTTGTTCAGTATAGTAGTTTGATTACAAGTTTTAAGGCTGTGCTCTAAAGGGAGCACTAGTTTCACCAGTCCAGTCTTGTGGAGGGAACCAAAGAGGGGAAGGAGTGTGATGTCCGAGCCTTTGTATGGGCAAAATGATGTCATCTCTTTTTCCTGTGGTGCATAAAGAAAGCTTTGTTCAGTGGAGGCCAGGATGGCCAGGGCACCAAAGGCTAACTTTTGACATTTGAAACGTTAAGCTTTGGGCCCAGCAAACAAGATATCACATGATATCATAGAATGTCGGATTTGAAATGTACTTCACACTACAGCAGACATCAAGAGCTTAGAATAAGGATACAACCATGGCAAAGCTTCCTACTGTACTATTAGCCAGCTGTCCTTGAAAAAAATAGAAATGAAGGATATGTCGAAACTATTGACTCCCTACGTGGGTTGTTAGATCAATGGCTCAGCAAGCCTGGTCACTTGACTGGAAACTTTATTTTAAGCCAAAACAAATATTCAATTAAATGACCCTTAATGGCTAAAGAGCTAGTGCTAAAGTTAGGGTCCTGACAACATGACCTGACCTGGAAAAGCTATTGGCCAAGTTAAAGCTTATAACTATAAACACCCTTGTTTCACTCTACTTGACACTACCTAAGAAACAGCAAGGGCATGTGAATTCACTTGGTATTTGGTAGTGTACTTATCTTTAGTTTGAACAGGGAGGGCTACAAGACCATGCTCTTTCAACAGATCTACAGATTGCCAAGAAACAATTTATACCAAATCAAAGAAATGTATAACTGTAGACGGCCCATGTTCATTACAGTTATAGTTTTATTCACTCAACATTTTGTCAGTTGTTTTCAGACCTCAAAAATGATATAATGTGTTAAGTTTATTACACTTCTGACGTCCATCATTTGTATAGATCCAGCTATATGCTTCAAAATGAAATAGAAAACCCAGAATTTCTTTCAACCAACCCAGTAGCTATGTATTTAGGCCTACTGAGTTGTATTAATGTTGTTTTAAAGTATTGATTCATTCTGATCCGTTAAACATTAATTCGATATGAGCAAGTGTGCTTCAAACACGTGGTTGGAGCTTCAGTCTGCTTTAAAGGGAAAAGGATTAAACTGCTAAGCAGTCAGTAACAAGAACCATGTGTCCTTTTTCCCAGTTTTCCCATCTGCGCCCTTCAAGCCCTCATTTCACTCTCCCCCCACTTCCCTCTTCCTTAAGAACCAGTCTGTTTTTGTTTTCCAAACAAGGCTCTCTGTACAGGAAATTGTGTACTTTGGGAGCATTCAGGAAGGCAGAGAGCAGATTTCCTGTTAGGACCACGGCAAAAAAATAAAAATGTGTGGATAAAAGGGGTCAGTAATCTCTAAACCAGAGGAGAAACAGCAGTCAGCTATTCCCCTCCCCTGACTTCACTTCCCTCCCCTTCAAACCTCCATGCCACGCCAGTGCCACAACTACCATGACCTTCGAAACATGGAAAACTGGAAGCAGAAGGATAAAGAAACAAACACAGAAACAATATTCCTGCGCCTCACTGGGTACATTTCCTCAGATACAGAGGAGCCAAAGAACAGGGAGATTGTGTGGACGAGAGGAAAAGAGGAGAAGAGAAAAAAGGCAGAGGAACACTGAGTAAAAAAACGACAACAGGAAACCAACTAATTCTGGTGCTGTTTCTGCAAATCCTCCTGAGATAAATCACTTCAGAGGACTGCCATTCCCAATCCACATTTTACAATTATAACTGACAAGGGGTTTTCCCATTCATTTTTGTAAGATTGATTGGAAATGTATAAAGCACTAAAAATCTGACAGAAAAGTGACGTCTGCTTTATTCTCCTCACAAGGACTTTTCAGTCTCCCACACTGTTAGTGTGGTTGGTCAAGATGTGAGTGGATGAATCCTTTTTGGGAGGTTTGTTTGGTTTTCACTTTTAGGATACATCTCACCCCTTTCCCAGGGTCTGTTGGATCATGGTTGTGTATTTGAGGATTTGTTTGTTCTGAACTCCTGGACTACTAACTGGATCCAGATGAAGAATAAAGGAGCCAAGCAGAGGTCCAAAAAGAAAGGAAGTGAGAATGCATTCGGCTGTGACTTGACAGAACATCTACAGAATTCAGGACAAGACGGTAAACTTGTTTCTTTCAATGTTTATTATGTTGCTTCCCTTTCCCGCTGCTTCCCTTTTCTAGCACATTTCAGCACATTTCATCATGTCCCATAATAATGACCAGAGTTACACAGCAACAGAGCCTAATTATTGGCCCATTATTCAACATGTACTAGAGTTATTGAGGGGATTGTCAATATGTTTACAGATTTATTAGACGTAGTATTAACCAAATAAACAACAAATAATCATAATAATAGTTATGATAATTACAAAAATATTAACACAGTGTGATCATTTAAAAAAAATCTACCTACATTGGGAAAAGTTGTTTTTAGACAAAACGGGTAACAATTTAACAACTTAGTCTAGATTTGTATTTATTTAGCTATTACAATGTTGATGACTGTTTGCGACAGGATGTGTAATGGTGCAGTTGAATTATCTATATATGTTCAGTATGGAACACCTCTAAGGTTTTAGGAGAATTCAGAATTAGATTATTTAACCCCATATATTTTGGGAAAATAATGTTAAACCTCTTTGCTTTGGATGATTTTGTAAACTTTGTGTGAAATTGGTTAGGAAAGATCCATGCTGTTTTTAACAGTTGTACACTAGATGATGTAGTTTATTCAGGTCTGTGACACAGATGTATATTGCAATATGGACATTAATGTACATCTGTTTTACATTCCATTAAGTCCTTTAGGCTCCCACAGAGTTTTAAATAGGGGATTTGTGAGTTAGGGTGTGGCTCATAGTCTTTTTGTCAACTTCCCCTGCCCACCAAGAGGCCTGTGTCTGGCTCTCTGTCTGAGGATTCTGGGTGGGCAACACTGCTCACAGGGGGGAGTATCAGCCAACAGATCATATTTTAGAAAACAATTGAGGATGGGTGTGTTTACCCAGTATTTGAATGGAGGTCAAATTGTAATATGAAGTGAGGTAATGTGATGTGACTTGGAAACCTTTACCTTGAACAGATTTAACCGATTTAACAGATGAACAGATGTAACTGATTTGATACAGTAGATCTTTGTTACACAATACACATTTTTCTCTGCTACAGGGGGAGAAAGTATAATTTACTGTATATGGTTAATATGATGATACTTTTAGTTTTTATTTGTCAAATGGCATATATAATTACGAGTGGCTTATGATATCTGATTTAGTTGACATGGCACTTTGAGATATCAGCTGTTGTTGAGTTGGTATTGAGGTGGCTGAAATGTCACTAACTCTGGCTGACCCTAGACAGGGAAGAGAAAGGATGTGTATAATTACTTCATTTACACAGACAATTTACCTACGAGGATGTTATTTGATTTAACAATCAACAGCATCTTATTCAATAAGCCGTATTCTTGGATTCCTTTTGAATCCGCAAGAAGATTTCTAGGCAAGCAGGAGTTTTCGTTCTGAGCAAATACTCAAAAGTCATGGTGACTCAAATCCCGTTCAGACCAGCCACCATTTTGACCACAGGCATGTCACTGAGAGTGTCTGTTCAGATGTGTAGTCACTAAGCAAGTTTCATGTGGGAGAACAGACTTTCATTCATACTGCCCTGGGTAACCTCTGGGCAGTACGTTTCAAAACTCCAAAGATGGAATGAATTGTTTTCGTTTTGCTTGGCTAATGTTCAGCTGCATATGAATAATATAATCATGTCTGTGTGCTTATTGATTTATTTTTCAGGTTTAGTTGTGTTGTTCATGAGATATGTTAAGAGTCTGAAAACGAGGGAAACAATCTGTAAACTGACATTGATCTATGCCACTATAAGTTGTTGTATAACATACAATAGCTCTGCATTCTCTGGGGACACGAGAGATTGACCTCCATGCTTGTCATTGCGTGGCTAAAATGTGAAATGATCCACAGTCACTGTGGCACTGGCCAGATGGTTCCTTATACCTTTGTAAAGAGTTCTGGGAAGTGCCTCATCTAGTGTATCTGTGAAGTGGAAATGCCTGGTAGCAAAGTGGGAAGGTCTATTTAGCTTAAATTAGTTGAGCTTTGAGTCTCAAGTGCTTTACTTGAGGGATAGAGGAGCTTACAGGAACATTGCGCACTGTGTATTTCTCTTCTAAGGTTCTTGCATACATTGGCTTGCTGATTTCAGTCCAGAGTGGAACAACTTCAGCAAAAATAAGTGAGCTATATCCTATGGTTTTTATTTTAGCATAGCAAGGAGGGACACTAACTGATGTAGTCTATGCCATACTGTGCAAAAGCGGAGCTATACATTTTTCATTTCCAGTTGAAATGTATTATAAAGATGTTCTTTGATTTACAAGTATTCATTAGTGTGGAAAGCAACCCTACACTCCTCTCGAATACAGCATCATAGATAACATATTTTAAAAATAGAGACATTACAGTTTGGAAAGCAATAGAGAATTGGGTGGTAACATTTGAAAGGCCATTTTCTATTAGAGGAAGTGTCGCAAGTATTACCAGCTGCAAGGATTGGGTGTGTCAACCTTCCTCTGAAACAAACAAACCATTTTTAACTTCCTGTGAAATTCCACCTTCTTAACAATCAGCAACCCTATGGAATACAAAGCCAAGCTACAGCGTAAAGTATGTTTAGTGGGATTTAAAAGAAGAATAAGTACTAATACAATTTATACTAATGACAATTGGTTTCTCCCGAACTATCCTCCTCACGCTTCTCTGTCCTTTTCTGCCATGGAAAAAAGGGTTGTCTCAAAGAATGAGCCAAAGATCCAGATTCTGACTCTGTTTATAGCACTTACAGCATTAAACTGACCCTGTCCAGTTCATAGAGGCACTCTCTGTCCTTCCTCTTTCTGCTTCATGTCAGCAGTTGAAATGGAATGCCAGTATTTTCCCAACTGCTAAAACCCAAGTTGCCACGTTTTCCATCCACCTCCCTAGATTGTAGACATGGCATTACATTTAAAAATAATATAATGAAAGATATTCAGTTGAACATAATTTCTACTAAAACGAGAATGTTGCCTCTTACAGAACACCTAAAGACACGTAACTTTGTATATTATAATTTCTCTCATAAATGACAGCTTATTCAAATACCTTCATTACAACATCAATTACAGTTTAATATGACCACCCTATTATATGCTGACCTTCACTTCTCAAGACTGGACCCCCAAAATGTTTTTATTTGGTTTGCCATGTGTGTGTGTCTTTTCATGTCGAATCGATGGTTGAAACAATATTTGTTTTTCTTCTTTTTGCAGTTCCTCAAGTTTTAAAGACGTGTGCAGAGTTCATTGAGAAACATGGCGTTGTTGATGGGATATACAGACTCTCAGGGGTCACCTCCAATATCCAGCGACTCAGGTAACTATTTTAACCACATACTGTGCCTTCCAAAAGTATTTTGACAGGGAAGTCAAAATTGCAGTTTGGGCTCTATACTAAGCATGTTTGAGTAGTACGTTTATAGATTTAGGCCATTATGGACATATCATGTTGTACAACTTTAGTTTATTCAATATAAACCATTAGCAGGCTACATTTCAATCTTACAAAACTGCCTACACATACTAGAGGAGTGTGGAAGCATCATACACCTTCAGCTGTATTGATACCCATGTGTTTGTGTGCTTACTTACAGACAGGAATTTTGCGCTGAGTTGTGCCCTGACCTCACAAAGGAAATGTACCTCCAGGATATCCACTGTGTGGGCTCCTTATGCAAGCTGTACTTCAGGGAGCTACCCAATCCTCTACTCACTTATGAGCTTTACAAGAAATTCACTGTGAGTACTGTTCAAAGAGGCAGGGTTTCTACCTATCAAAATCAAATCCAAATCAAATGTTATTGGTCACATGCGCCGAATACAACAGGTGTAGACTTTACAGTGAAATGCTTAATTAAGAGCCCATTCCCAACAGTGCAGAGTTAAAAAGTAAGACAAATATTTGCTAAAGAAAAAAGAAAATAGTAACACAATAAAAACAATAATGAGGCTATATACAAGGAGCCCCAGTACAGAGTCAATGTGCAGGGGTAAGGTAGTTGAGGTAATTGAGGTAATACAATATGTACTGTACATGCAGGGGTACGAGGTAGTTGAGGTAATATGTATATGTAGGTAGGGGTAAAAGTGACTAGGTAATCAGGATATATAATAAACAGAGTAGCAGCACCGTATGTAAAGTGTGAAAGTGTGTCTATGTGTGAGTGTGTGTGGCATCAATATGCATGTGTGTGTGTGTGTGTGTGTTGGAGTGTCAGTGTAGTATGTGTGAGTGTGTGGGTAGAGTCTAGTGAGTGTGCATAGAGCCAGTGCAAGGGATTCAGTACAACACATCTATAATGTATCTGTAATGTGCAAAACATCTGTAATGTATCTGTAATGTGCAAAACATCTGTAATGTATCTGTAATGTGCAAAACATCTGTAATGTATATGTACTGTGTCCACTTTGGTCACAACAATCCCTGTTTGATTTACATGAGAAATTAGTCATTTAATACGGTGGCGCATTCAAAGAAAGAATGATGTGCAGCACTGATAATACTTGACTTCGTCTTCTACTGTGTAGGAAGCCGTCTCAGTCCAGGAGGATCATGAAAGACTACAGCGTATCCAGGGCGTCATCAAAGAGCTACCAATCCCCCACTTTAGGTAAGACTCACTTCAGACCTTTGTTGCCCCTGTAAAGGACCTTTCCAATGCTTATATGTGGTTAATAAGCTAAAAGAAAGTGTGTGTCCTCTCTCTTCAGGACTCTGGAATATCTTACCAAGCATTTGTCCCACCTGGCCACTTTAAGCCCCCAGACTAACATGCACACCCGCAACCTGGCCTTGGTGTGGGCTCCAAATCTGTTGCGGTGAGCTCTGCACATATTGTACAGAAACCTATATCACTTTATCCAAGAACATAGTAAAACAGTTATGTGATAACTACGTTTGGTTTGAGTTATACTTTCTCTCTTGGCTTTGTGTTTTGTAGCTCTAAAGATATTGAAGTTGCATCCTGCAATGGGGACATGGCTTTCCTGGAGGTGCGGGTACAGCAGTCAGTGGTTGAGTTCATTTTAAATCACACTGAGCAGATCTTCAACCATGCAGCTGCACCAATAACACCTAAAGGTATGCATGTCACAATGTTTGAAAGTGTCCAATGTGTGCATTTAGAGATTTCATGAATGTTGCCCTCTTGCTTGTGTCATTTCTGTGGCCATTGGATAACGGATTTTATTTATTGTCATGCCAAAAGTAAAAACCTACACAATGTATTATTACAGGACCCAGTTTGATGTGTGGGGAGAAGTATGCTACTCTGCCTATCAGTGGCCAGGGTGGGCCAATGAAACTGATGAGCCTGGAGGAGGCCCAGGCTCGCTCCCTGAGCCCTAACCACCCAGCACGGAAAGAGCGACAACGGGAGAACAGTCTTCCAGATACCAGCACTGCAACACTGTACCATACTGTCATAGACATATCGGATAGCAAGTGAGATGGATGAGGATTCAACTGACTGATTTATTTAGTATACTCAACAAACATGCTTAATTCACAAATCCTCTGGGCTGTCAGGCACCTGGATACATTTGGCAGTGAAAACATGAATAAAAAAATACCTGATCAAACATACTGTAGTATACAATAACCCATACACTGTACAGAGTATGCAGTACAGTGCCTGGCAAATCCCTATTGTTAGTGCATTGTTTTGCTGTACATGCTGCTTTTAAAACCAAACAGGCCATATTGTTCACAAGTGTTTCTCCTTTTCTGTCAGAAGAAAGTTTTCTGGGAAATCCAAAAAGTGGAAGTCCATCTTCAACTTGGGCAAGTCTGTGACAGACTCTAAGGGGAAACTGAGCCGGAATGGGAGCGTGTTCATGAGAACACAGAACATCACAGGTAAATGCGCTTTAACAATTTACTGCAGTAGGCTAAATCAGGTTGGTTCTTGGTAGTCTTAAACAAGTCTACAGGTAGGTCAAAGTTTAATTCATGGAATAGGGGTGTGGTATATTGTACAGTATATCTTAAATGTATGCCTACATTCAGATATGGATCTCTCTGTTAAATATGACTTACCCTTCCATTTCTTGACCAGTTGTCTGGGACAGGGATGTTATTTCGATGTGCCAATTCGTAGGCAAGTTCTCTGCATTTGAGGCTACTAAGCCCATGAAACTGGTCCTCGAGATTCTTGATATGTTTAGCAAGCTCAGACTCCATGTCATCAGATAAGATCTTGTGTTCCTCTGCTACTCTATCATAGCCTCTCTTTCGCACAGGTACAGTACATGTTTGTTTTTCTTTTTTGTCAATGTACCTCTTCAATGTCATTCAGTCTATTTTTTCGTCCCTTGCTTCTGCTCAAATGGACTTCTTCCCTTCTCTCATTTCCTTGGCTGCTCTCTCAAGAACCTCAAGGGGGGCTAGACCTCTGCTTGTTTTACATTTGTATACACAGGGCATGATGATGTCTGCACTATCTTGAGTTCATATGCATGATACATTGCAAAAATACTTTGCATATTATACATACAACGGACAAAATGTAATCATTTGTATGGGGTATGGTGGCCATTGGCTCAACTTACCCCATGCTACAAGGATGCATTTTCACGATAGGTTTAGGACCTCATATTGTAGCTTATAGAGACCCCAACTGATGTACAAAACAATCTTACAGCTATCTACTTTGGTTTAGATACAAGCATCATGAAACCTATAACCAATAAATGTATTAAACTTTGTGAAAATCTGTTTTTGGGACCTAACTTGCTTACCACTTTTTCCATGTGGTTTCTTCCTTCACAGACTCCATGAAATGATGGCCTCTTCCTAAATATTTGGTCACATGATGGATCTTATGTATGGTTTCGTAGAAACAAGGGGTGGCTTAACTAAACCTTTGGCTCAACTTACCCCACTCTCCCCTACATATTTTATTTCAACCTTGATATAGTGAATGATCAAATGAAAATGAATATCACAGAAATGAACATTCTACTTGAAATAATTGATATTAACAGAACAGGGCTGTGCATATTTTGAGCAGGTTCTCAAAATGAAGGGGATAAAATACTCAAAATTCATGTCTCGAAATTCATAACATAGCCTACTAACTGCCTCTGTAGCGATTTTGTACTTTTTTGTTGTTGTTGCATAGGCCTATTTATTTCTGCAACAACACTCATCATCACAAATTGTAAGCAAGCTAGTTAAAGTGCCTCCTAAAGGCATGACTGACATCAGGTAAAGAGGTTGGGCTATCAGCTGATCATTGATGATTCATGTAAATCTGCTTTTTAGCTAGCTCCATATTTAATTTTTTACTGATTTTGATTTGTCTTCAATGCTCTTAAATAATAACTTCATAATTTAATATTCAGAATCTTTTAACTCATGATATACAGCATGGCTGGCTAGTGGCTTGTGTGTATATTTTAGTATATGGTGGTTAGCAAGAGTCCAGACTACCTGTGTTGCTGCTGCCTCTTATCCAGAGCGACTTACAGTTAGTGAGTGCATACATTATATATATATATTTTTTCATACTGGCCCCCCGTGGGAATCGAACCCACAACCCTGGCGTTGCAAACGCCATGCCCCACCAACTGAGCTACATCCCTGCCGGCCATTCCCTCCCCTACCCTGGACGATGCTGGGCCAATTGTGCACCGCCTCATGGGGTCTCCCGGTCGCGGCCGGCTACGACAGAGCCTGGATACGAACCAGGATCTCTAGTGGCACAGCTAGCACTGCGATGCAGTGCCTTAGACCACTGCGCCACTCGGGAGTTATGCTGCAGCCACTGTGGCAGTACTGTTGACATTTAAACTAGGTAGCTTGCTACCAGTGGAGGCTGCTGAGGGGAGGACGGCTCTTAATAATGGCTGGAATTGAGTGAATGGAATGGCATCAAACCATGTGTTTGATGTATTTAATACCATTCCACTGATTCTGCTCCAGCCATTACCACGAGCCCATCCTCCCCAATTAAGGTGCCACCAACCTCCTGTGCTTGCTACACACACTCGACAGGTGACCGCATCTTAAGCCATGCAGGTTTGGATACCGGGCGCGCACAATCTCATACAGGCCAGACTAGGGAACAGGCGCAACCGGCGTACAGGGCAGACCAACAGGCACAACCAACCAATGAACGGGGTGGGGGTTGGCGAACTTGAGACGTCACGACGATTTGCGGGCAGTGGGTTCAGAACAATAACAACAAAAACTGTATACAAAAAAATATATAATTATAACACTACGAGTGGGAGGGCAAAGGGGCAGGTGCTCAGGCACAAGTAATCCCCTATCTGTGTACGTGCCTGATACAGAATAAAATAACATCGGGTAAATCCATTTGAATTCAATCACTTTTTGACAGCACCCCTTTTTGATTTGAACAAAACCTTCGATACTATTTGTCATTGTAGAAGGGCTCAGAAAGGGACCTGAATACCAAAACATTCAAGAGATAAAGGTGCTCAAAGTTGACCTATTTTGTAAACCCCACCATACCATGAGACCTCCATGTCTTCATCACTGGAAAAGATAAACGGTTGAGATTGATATGATTTAAAAGCATACACACAGGGTTGTCAAACTATTTTATAATTTCTTGAGAAAAATGCTTTTAAATAAATATTGTCATTTTTTTTACTTTAAACATCAATTCATCTAAAAAATCTTTCATATTTGCACATATTGTAGCTTAGACCCTATTTTACATCATCTGACTTTTTTATGTTGTGCCTGCCATTGGTTGAGACACAACATGCTCTTGATTACAGGGTGAGTGTCATGTTTTGGCAGATAAATGTACTAAAATTGAAAATTCTACTTTCAAATAGTACCACAAAGATGGTCAGAGAATGTTGACTTGAATGGGAATATTTGTTGTTTTAAATTATACTGTCAATCCTCCATATGAAACCTATTGAAATCATAGAAATATAGATCATAGAATAGACCTTACCATTTCAGTTGACATTCGACAATGGGTGGACAGGCAGCCATCTTTGTGGTAGTAATTAGAAGTTAACATTTCAATTAAATTTAAATGTCAATTGTGTACCAGCTAAATTGCAGAGGTCTGAAGGGATAGGTCCATTCTATTAATTATATTTCTATGATTGAAATGACACCCCACCCTGTATTCAAGAGCATGTTGTGTCTCAACCGATCAAGGACACAACACAAATACCTTATATTATGGAAAGTAGGGCCTAAGCTACAACATATGTGAATATGGAAGAAAAAAAATTAAGTGATGAAGACATGGATGTCTCATGGTATGGTGGGGCAGGGGCGCAACATTCACTAGGGATTGCATTTTTGCCCCCCCCCCCCCCCCCCCAGTTTTATCATTGCACTGTGATACAAAACGCTGCACCGGTGTGCTTTAGGACCATGCGGACGCCTCAGAGCGGTCTGGTAGTCTGTTTTCCGGTTTCAGCCAGCTGGATTTAGGACCACACGGACACCACAGAGCAGAGCATGAGGACAGGCATAGCTTCTGAAAGGCTGCCGTATAGGACCAGCACAGGAGAGATGAACAGAGGCAGCTGCTGTCTGTGTCCTGCTTTCGTTTTACAAGCAAGCAGAGCAGAAACTGGCTACTCTTTAGTTGACTGATCTAGCTGGCAAGGTAACTGCTGTTTGACAGAGAAAAAGTATTTATTCCCAGTGCTGAGCTAGTAGTGTAACTGACATGTTACGTTAGCTAATGTTTCACACTGACACGGTATAAACAGCTCTACAGTCTTCACTGTCATGGTGCACAGTCAGTACACAACACTATGCTCATCATGTCTTAGCAGGATCAGATGGTGACAGGTGTCCCTGAAGGGTCACACAGGCAGTGAAGACCAGTCTATGGAGCTCATGTGAATTTTGCAGTATATTATAACAATCAGTAAATGGATACAAAGTTCCACCTTAAGTTGATGGGTAGGCTACAGTCTGGGATCTGGGAATAATGGTCATTTCAATTATTTAACCATTGATTCTATTCATGGATAATGTAATGTATAAATGTACACCAAGGTAATTATTCTGAGCAGGATCAGATGGTGACAGGGGTCTCAGCAGGGTCAGGCAGCCAGGGAAGACCAGTCTGTGACGGTGCAGAGGTGAACTTTTGCAGATGCAACACTTTATTCTCTCAGTTCAGCAAACACTGGACAAGCAAGAAGCTTCAAAGATTGAAACTATTAAGTTGATTTCCAAATTGTATCAAGGGTTGATAGAGGCTTTTCCCGATGACACAAAACATGTAAAACTAAAATGTGAGGAAGACCTGGGAGACACTGAATGGATGAATGGATACAGATATGTTAGAATGCCCAGTCATGTTCATATAATCTCAGACATAAATCACTGCAGTTTAAGACCATCCATAGAACATAGCATATGCCAATGAAACTGAATATCATGCACTCAGAAATGTAATTCTAATGTTTGAGGTGTAAACCACAAAAGGGGACATACAGTACCAGTCAAAAGTTTGGACACACCTACTCATTCCAGGGTTTTTCTTTATTTTTACTATTTTCTACATTGTAGAATATAGTGAAGACATCAAAACTATGAAATAACACATAACACAAAAAAGTGTTAAACAAATCAAAATATATTTTAGATTTTAGATTCTTCAAAGTAGCCCCCCTTTGCCTTGATGACAGCTTTGCACACTCTTGGCATTCTCTCAACCAGCTTCACCTGGTTGAGTTCCCACATATGCTGAGCACTTGTTGGCTGCTTTTCCTTCACTCTGCGGTCCAACTCATCCCAAACCATCTCAATTGGGTTGAGGTCGGGTGATTGTGGAGGCCAGGTCATCTGATGCAGCACTCCATTACTCTCCTTCTTGGTCAAATAGCTCTTACACAGCCTGGAGGTGTGTTGGGTCATTGTCCTGATGAAAAACAAGTGATAGTCCCACTAAGCGCAAACCAGATGGGATGGCGTATCGCTGCAGAATGCTGTGGTAGCCATGCTGGTTAAATGTGCCTTGAATTCTAAATAAATCACTGACAGTGTCACCAGCAAAGCACCATCACACCTCCTCCTCCATGCTTCACGGTGGGAACTACACATGCGGAGATCATCCGTTCACCTACTCTGCGTCTCACAAAGACACGGCGGTTGGAACCAGAAATCTCAAATTTGGACTCATCAGACCAAAGGACAGATTTCCACCGGTCTAATGTCCATTGCTCGTGTTTCTTGGCCCAAGCAAGTCTCTTCTTATTATTGGTGTCCTTTATATTTACATTTTAGTCATTTAGTAGACGCTCTTATCCAGAGCGACTTACATATATATATTTTTTCATACTTTAGTAGTGGTTTCTTTGCAGCAATTCGACCATGAAGTCCTGATTCACGCAGTCTCCTCTGAACAGTTGATGTTGAGATGTGTTACTTGAACTCTCTGAAGCATTTATTTGGGCTGCAATTTCTGAGGCTGGTATTCTAATGAACTTATCCTCTGCAGCAGAGGTAACTCTGGGACTTCCTTTCCTGTGGCGGTCCTCATGAGAGCCAGTTTCATCATAGCGCTTTTTTTTGCGACTGCACTTGAAGAAACTTTCAAAGTTCTTGACATTTTCCGTACTGACTGACCTTCATGTCTCAAAGTAATGATGGACTGTCGTTTCTCTTTGCTTATTTGAGCAGTTCTTGCCATAATATGGACTTGGTCTTTTACCAAAAAGGGCTATCTTCTGTATACCACCCCTACCTTGTCACAAGACAACTGATTGGTTCAAATGCATTCAGAAGGAAAGAAATTCCACAAATTAACTTTTAACAAGGCACACCTGTTAATTGAAATGCATTCCAGGTGACTACCTCATGAAGCTGGTTGAGAGAATGCCAAGAGTGTGCAAAGCTGTCATCAAGGCAAAGGGTGGCTACTTTGAAGAATCTCAAATATAAAATCTATTTTGATTAGTTTAACACTTTTTTGGTTACTACATGATTCCATAGGTGTTATTTCATAGTTTTGATGTCTTCACTATTATTCTACAATGTAGAAAATAGTAAAAATAAAGAAAAACCCTGGAATGAGTAGGTGTGTCCAACTTTTGACTGGTACTGTATTTGCACATGTTATGATCTTGTGAAGGCTGGCTGAATTCTGGCAAAGAGTATGTTCTTTTATCTCACCATGTCTACATATTCTCCCTTCTCCCTGTTTTTGTTTGCTTGGAAATGTTGATACTGGAGACTGTTTTCAGGAGAAACTGTGTAACCTACCATTTATAGCGGCTAAGAAATGCATTCCCATTAATTGGAAGGTTGGTTATCCTCCCACAATGGATGGAAGAAATGTTGAGTTATGTATCATTAGATTTTATTTATTACAAGATTAAGGGTAGGTATACTGTGCAACTTTCATAACGTCTGGATGCCTTATATGGAATACTGTACGACAAAAGGAGTCTAAATTGAAAACATGCCCATGTCAGGGGAGATACCTATTTAGGCAATCCTTAGCTGCTGGGCTGCTCAGTCCTGGCCCTGGGGGTCTGCCGTACTGTTGGTTGTCACTCTGGCCAAGATCCTAAAGCTGAATGGGGTGTGTTGGGTTGCTGCAGGGTCGTGTACCGCTAGGGTCAGGACGGGGTGACCCAGCTATATTGTGTGCAAGTAAAAATAGCTCTACAGTACTTTTAGGCCTATGATATGAATTATATGGAGGGTGTACTGTTTCTGTGTGTTAATGTGTAGGTGTATGTGTTGTTTTATCAAACTTTTGTTTTCCAAACCTTTCCCTTGAGACATAAAAAAAGATGGGAAGGAAGCTGTGTTGGGGAGAGAGTTGAGTTATTGACTAGACTGGTGGGGGTCTGTCGTGCAGGTGGCTCAGGGCAGCTGGGCGGTCTGGCTGAAATTTGATAGAGGATGTCTTAATAAAGGCAATCAAAAGTATTTGTAATTTATTTGTAAGAGTTGTTCATTTGTTAGGCTATTGGTTAAAGGTGCAACACAATATTGATTATTAGTTCAGTCTTATCAATCACTTAAACATATTTGATAATGATCTCTTACCTAGCTTGATGACTGTGGGCATTTGTTTTTTCTAAATAGAGACGTCTAGAAGGGTCATGGGTCATATTAGATTTAGTAGAAATGCAGGAAATGAGCTTTAGATGCCCCAAATAATGGGAGGACCCCCAGACCCCCCGTGGGGTGGGGTATGCAAAGTGGGTTAACTTTGAGCACCTCTATCTCCTAAATGCTTTGGCATTCAGATCCAAAAAGTCACTTTATGACCACTTCTTCCATGGGCAAACATGTCTGGAAAGTTTTGTTTCAATCAAAAGGGATGCTGTCAATTTTTTTATTTATTCAAATGGATTTACCCCATGACTGCATTCTTCATTCACAGAAAAGGCAGCTATCCGACCAGCTAGAAGCATGGACTCTTTGTGCTCTCTGCCAACAGGTGGGGCTGAATGCACTACATTGCATACAAAATACTTTCGTCATCGTGAAATCTACTCACAGCAGTTCTCTCTTTTAAACAATTCTTCATTGTAGCATTTGCTCTGTAAATAAGGCTGAGAAGATGTGTATCTAACAATTAGTTTCACATTTTATTTCCAACACACAGATGATGACAAGGCAGGAAATTTCAACTCAGCAGGCGAGGCCAACGGTTTCTTTGCACCAGGCATAAAATCCAGAACACTTGGATCTGACTCGCTTTATGACCTCAGTGAACACCAGAGGTGGGAGTTTGAGATGAAGAAATCGAGTGAGGCCACAGGTTGCAGCAGCCCTAAAATGAAGAGAAGGGGCTCTCCAAGCGTCTCACCACCACAACAGAAGGCTCTACCTGAACAACTGAAGGTTTTCAAAGGCGATGACCTCAGCAGCTGCCAGCCCACCTCTCCTAAGAACAGGAGGATGCTGTATTCTGGCTCCACCCACAGCAGCACATCCAGGCCCTCCTTCCCAGGAAGCCTCTTCCCAGAGTCCTCCCCTAGGCATCAGCGCAAGGCTCTCAACATATCAGAGCCCTTTGCTGTGTCCGTGCCCCTGAGAGTGTCTGCAGTCATCAGCTCCAACAGCACCCCCTGCAGGGCAACAGGGAAAGAGAGGCCTGCTGCAGCTGCCCTGAAACCCAGCAGAGAGACCTCCCAGTCAGAGCAGAGTGATAGCAGTGGCGGCTCAAGTTACAGAGAGCACCCCCTTGTAGAGAGCAGAATTGGGAGTGAGAGCAGTATCTACAGTAACAGCAGCTCAACCCCTCTGGAAAAGGAGGCGAGACCAGTAGAGGAGAGGAGCAGAGAGGAGGCAGCTTCCAAAAGGGTGCCAGAAGGTAGGACATTTTCACCTGATAACATAGAAAAAAGCCTGTGAGTCTGTGTGTGTGCATGCACTCAGATTGAAAACCTTCCTCATTATCCATGGTAACAATGTCTATTAATAAAATAATTACATATCTATTTATGTTATTAGTTTCCGGAAGTGAAGGAGAGGTGAAAGAGGTTCAAGGGAAGGTGGAAGTATCTGACCTGAGACAGTCTTCCACTCCCAACACAAGAGAGGAAGATAAAGAGAAACAGCAATCTCCTGGGAATCAACTGGACAACCAGCCAGCACCACAGCATGAGCCAAAAGAACTGACACAACTGGTATGTTTAATCTCCAGTTTAGCTCTGAGCTTCATCACATATAATATACCAAGAATAATACAATGACAATGGCTGTCGCTTTATTAGGGCGTTTGTGATTAATGTTTTGCAGGATATGGGATCTGTACCTATCAAGGAAGAACTATGGTGTGAACTCCATCTTGAGCTGAAAATCACTGAGCCTGAGCTTGACATTATGGAAGAGGAGTTTATGCCTGTTTTTTGTTCCACCAAGAACACTCGTGAGGATATTAAGGCAAAAAGAAGAAGCAGCCTTCCAACTCACTCGTTATTGTATAAGGGACAGCCTTTGATGCCCGCCAAGCCTGCATTGACTGATCAGAGTGCTTCTACTGTAGCACATTCAGCAGGAAAGAACTCCTCAGACACACTATTTCCATTTGACAAAACATTCAATTTCATGGTTGGCACAGATATGAAAAATACACCTCTACATGCTGCTGATTCAACAGATATAACAGAAAACAAACCACACATTTCCCCCAAATCTAAGCTCACAGAAACAGATAAACCCATCAGCATCAAGCCACGACTTGTGGTTCCTCACCTTGCAGAGCCAAGTTTACATTTTACTCAACAAAGCCAGGTCATAAAACATTTGCAGCCAGGGGATGACATAACAGACATAGGCATGTCTGTAGCAGAGAAAGGAAAAGAGCCATCGTGGAAAAGTAAAAGTCAAGATGGGGTCAAAGGGTTTTCCCATGATGATGGAAAGAATGCTTTGTCAGTTGTCATGGGAGGCATTGAGAGGCTTTCAATATGTTTGGAGGAAAGGCCCCACACCTTGGGGCTACCACACCAAGACGATGAGGATGGATGTGGAGGACACTCTGAATTGGAGGACCTGGAGGAGGAACCTTGGGAGGAGGTCTTAAGCTCCACCAAACAGTGGGTAACCAGTCCTCTTCATTCACCCACATTTACAGATTTGTTTGTAAAACTAGATGTGTCATCATCTTGTTCTGTGGGAGAAGGTTTGAGCTACAAAGATCTCAACGTTCCTCCTCAATCTAGAGACGACAAACCAACAAATGGATCATGTCCCGTTAGGAGCATAGAAGTGTTCCCAGAAAATAGCTCTCTAGCATGCAGCGGCAAAACAGAGACCAAAATCACACATATACTTCCCTTACCCTCCAAAACCACCCTGGTCAGTGATGACCCAACGCGACCACACAGAGGGACCAGCTGCACAGCTGCACAGCAAAACACCACCTCCTCCCAGAGATTTCACAGACAGACATCTTATGAAGCATCTTATTCAGAAAAAACTGGGCAGAACAGCTTTTCCAAACACAGGCCCTACTCACTCAATTGGGATTTAGGACTTCGATGCATCAGAGACATTTCCAATCAGCAAAACCTTGAATCAGCTGAGTTGTCCTCCATTCAGAGAGGGGCAGTGACCCCGTCTGGGACCAAATCCAACGGCCTGTCAAAGGAACTGGAACTGTTCCTGAGCGATCGTCAGGCCCCTGTGCGCCGGAACTCCGCCCCTGTCAGTGTGTCGTCTGTCAGGACGGCCTTCATGATAAAGACTTGCCAGGCCAAAGCAGTGCCTGTCATCCCCCCAAAGGTGCAGTACAGCCACATACCTCATCCCACGCACAATAAGGGCTCTGTTGCAGGAAAGGAACCAGAGAAAGAACTCACAAAAACCAGGGGAGAGAAACTAGATACTGTACCTCTTCTTGCGTCTATCAGGGATCTTAAGGAGGAGTTGGAGAATAAGGAGCCAACCCCCAAATCCCAAATAAGGCAGGCTATTGCAGAGAAATCTACAGAGACCAATAAAACCACACCTATTTCAGACCCACCGGTGCTGAGGAGGAAACACTCCTCCAATGCAGAGGCCTTTGCTGATTGTCCAAGACCTGAACGGTCTACTGTTCTACAAAGACCATCCTTTAGGAACCGCCAGAGACCACAGAGCCTCATCTTGTTCAGTCCACCCTTCCCCATCATGGATTACCCACCGCTAGGGGATGATGGCAAGCTCCTCCTCTCGCCCATCAGAAGTCCAACTGAAACATCAGCACTCGATGTATTTTCTAAAGAGATGGCAGAGAATCTCAGGACCCCAGAGGGGGTGACCCTGCGGAACAAAATGACAATACCCAAGAGTGGACAGAGGCTAGAGACCTCAACCAGCTGCTTTTATCAGCCACAGAGGCGGTCCATGATATTTGACAACAGGAGCCACAGGCAGATTGAATGAGACAATGGACAGTTTAACCAGTCATGTACATGCCCCTCGGACTATGTTTCATAACACTACTCTGGTCATCCTTCCTCTCATCCTCCCTGTTCTTGGACTTATGTAAATGATTTTAGCCATATTGGGCTTATAATTCTACCTTTGATATGAAACTATTCTGGGAAATTAACAGTTTCTTTGTTTCCAATGCTCCTACAATCACCTCTCTGTCCTGCACTAAAATAAGTATTCTCGACTAGTGGCGAAGATGTGTGTATTTCTTTTAGTCCCAAATCATATTCAGTAATGATCTATGAATATTCAAATGATCTTTTTTAATTCAAATGTTAGACACATTTGTAATGTGCAGGATAGATAGCCAAAGAGAGGAAAATGTTACATCAACCCATATTGCCATTGGTCTTTTATTAGTTTGCATGTCATCATTGGTAATCACAAGATTGCCTTTTTGCCAAAGAGAGTTGTACCTTCAGTGATAGCTGCTTTGTTTTTATTTATACCTTATTTCTTACATATTTTGTGAACTGAATAATGACTTCATACAGTATGAACCCACTGACGTCCAGCTATTGTTTCTGTGATCAGCTTTTATCCTGACATAGTATCAGGATAGTGTTTTTCCAACATTCTAAGTAACGAGAACTGGAGAAAGTGGCTACTTTAGTTGTAATTGTATTTCAGACACTAATGGTATTTATTTATCCAATTATGAATCTATAGATAGTCATTAACACACTTGACCAATTCTTTGTTGTTGTTGTTGTTTTTATTTAGCTTCAATTGTAGTAGCCAGACATTACTTCACCATTCTATATGGTGTAATGTTACCAATAGTTATACTGATATGTGCTACCAGGGATTTATCAGAACTGACAGAGTTGGTGTTACCTTAATTGGTCTGTAAAGTAATGTTTTGGTAAAGTCAGATATGTTTTTAGGATGAGGAGGACAGATGACAAAAATACCAAATGTAAAGTGTCTGTTGTGATTACTTTATCTTAAAAAACAGGCTTTGATGAGAAATGTTTGCGTTATAATGAAAAGGAAGTGAGAGAAATGGATGTGCTGACACTTGTATTTGTGTATGATACAAGTGTAGATGTAAAAGAGAGGACTCAAACACTATGCTTTAAATGTTGTGAAGAGTTAAACGAATATGAGAACAGGGATACTGGTTGTTTGCAGCTGTATTGACATAATACTACACTTGTGACCTGTACAATTCTGTATTGACCAAAATTGGATGTATTGTGTATAGCCACAGAAAGCTATGAAATAAAAAATACATGTATAGGCCTAACACATTTTCAAGGGATTTGTTCATAGAATGATTTGTCATAATGATTTATTTTAATAAAAAGCATGAGCTTGCGTACACCCAGAGAAAATTATTTAGTGTAGAGGTGTTGACTAACTGCGAAAATAAGCAATAAAAATAGAGTCGCACACTCTATATATATAAACTCCCAGTAATTTATTGGGTAAAACACCAACGTTTCTGCATCACTGCACCTTCTCTATTTTTATAGCTTACAGTTTATAATGATTTATTTTTACAACATATTAAAAAAAACATATGAGCATAGGGCTTAAATGATACATTTCAGATACTTTATATCAGTCACTCTCTCCTCTTAGAGTCGGTTACAAATGTTGAGGACCAGGCTAAATCTCTGATAGTACACTGTACGTTGCCCTCATCATCTTGTGTAGGGGTCCATAGAGGTCAGCATAATTGCATAACTGTGATGCATAATTATATAGTAATTACATATCATAATGAGGGATGCTTGTAATTCACCAAGGAACCATCCACTGATTGTATAATTGGTGTGATACATAATATACCCCAGTGGTATTTTTTGGGAAACAAAAATTAAGAATACAGATTACTGTACGGGAAAATATACAAACTTTTTTGAAAAAGGTCATTTGAAAAATACAATTTTATTGAGTAAATGTATTTATTGATTCTCTTAATTTTGATAGGAGAGATGAAAATTTATTGAATTGAAGGTTATTTGTTGAACAAAAAAGTTAAATATTTGTATTACTTCTTTACTGGTAGCTCTGCACTGAAGTTTATTTGAAGCATTCTTTGTCATCCTCAGAAATCCGACTGAGTGCAATGGAAAATTACTCCCAGTATCACAAAGAACTGCAGAAAAACAAAGAAAATCATTGATCTAATTCTCCATGTTGCTATTTTCAGCTTTTCCTCCCCACATTTAAGTGGCATTTTAAGTAATACCATTTTACAATATTTGGGCCTATTTGGTGAAATGAAACTAATTTTGATTAATGCATACATTGTCTCGATGCAAGAGCAACTACAGTGCCTTCAGAAAGTATTCATATCCCTTGACTTATTACACATTTTGTGTTACAGCCTGAATTCAAAAGGGATGAAATATATTTTTTACATAAGTATTCACACCCTGAGTCAAAACTTTGTGGAAGCAACTTTGGCGGCAATTACCGTTGTGAGTCTTTTTGGGTGTCTCTAAGAGCTTTGCACACCTGGATTGTACAATATTTGCCCATTATTGTTTTTTAAATTCTTCATGCCCTGTCAAGTTGATTGTTGATCATTGCTAGACAGCCATTTTCAAGTCTTTCCATAGATTATCAACCGATTTAAGTCAAAACTGTAACTAGGCCACTCAGGAACATTCAATGTTGTCTTGGTAAACAACTCCAGTATAGATTTTGCCTTGTGTTTTAGGTTATTGTCCTGCTGAAAGGTGAATTTGTCTCCCAGTGTCTGTTGGAAAGCAGACTGAACCAGGTTTTCCCTCTATGATTTTCCTGTGCTTACAGGTGTATTCTCTTTCTTTTTATCCTAAAAAACTCCCAAGTCCTTGCCGATGACAAGCATACCCATAACATGATGCAACCACCACCATGCTTGAAAATATGAAGAGTGGTACTCAGTGATGTGTTATGTTGGATTTGCCCCAAACATAACGCTTTGTATTCAGGACAAAATGTTTTTGCAGTATTACTTGCCTTGCTGCAAACAGGATGCATGTTTTGGAATATTTTTATTCTGTACCGGCTTCCTTCTTTTCACTCTGTCATTTATGTTAGTATTGTGGAGTAACTACAGTGTTGTTGATCCATCCTCAGTTTTCTCCTATCACAACCAATAAACTCTTTAACTGTATTAAAATCACCATTGGCCTCGTGATGAAATCCCTGAGCAGTTTCCTTCCTCCCCGGCAACTGAGTTTGGAAGGACACCTGTATCTTTGTAGTGACTGGGTGTATTGATACACCATCCAAAGCCTAATTAATAACTTCACCATGCTCAATGGGATATTCAGCATCAGATTTTTTTATTTATTTTTACACATCTACCTCTTGGTGCCCTTCTTTGCAAGACATTGAATAATCTCCCTGGTCTTTGTGGTTGAAATTCACTACTTGATTGAGGGACCTTACAGATAATTTGTATTTGTGGGGTACAGAGATGGGGTAGTTATTCAAAAATCATGTTAACCACTATTATTGAACACGGAATCAATCAATCAATCAAATGTTTTTATTTATAAAGCCCTTTTTACATCAGCAGATGTCACAAAGTGCAATACAGAAACCCAGCCTAAAACCCCAAACAGCAAGCAATGCAGATGTAGAAGCACGGTGGCTAGGAAAAACTCCCTAGAAAGGCAGAAACCTAGGAAGAAACCTAGAGAGGAACCAGGCTCTGAGGGGTGGCCAGTCCCCATCTGGCTGTGCCGGGTGGAGATTATAACAGTTCATGGCCATTAAGGCCAAGATGTTCAAATGTTCATAGATGACCAGCAGGGTCAAATAATAATCATAGTGGTTGTGAGGTTGCAACAGGTCATTACATCAGGAGTAAATGTCACTTGGCTTTTCATAGCCGGGCATTTAGAGGTTGAAATAGCAGGTGCGGTAGAGAGAGAGTTGAAAACAGCAGGTCTGGGACAAGGTAGCACGTCCGGTGAACAGGTCAGGGTTCCATAGCCGCAGGCAGAAGAGTGGAAACTGGAGCAGCAGCACGACCAGGTGGACTGGGGACAGCAAGGAGTCATCAGGCCAGGTAGTCCTGAGGCATGGGCTCAGGTCCTCCGGGATGGGAGGGAGAGAGGGAGAGAGTCCATGCAACTTATTAGGTGATTTGTTAAGCACATTTTTACTCCTGAACTTATTTATGCTTGCCATAACAAAGGGTTGAATACTTATTGACTCAAGACGTTTCAGTTGTAAATGTTTTATTAATTTCTCACATTTTCTACAAAGAAAATTCCACTTTGACATTATGGGGTATTGTGTGTAGATCAGTGACACAATGTTAAATTCAGGCTGTAACACAATAAAATGTGGATAAAGTAAAGGGGTGTGAATACTTTCTGAAGGCACTGTACATTTCTTCTGCAGTGAAGATTTGTTTGAATACTATACGTATCAATAAGTTGATGCAATGCATTCTATACTCACTGTCCAACACAATATGGTGAATCCAAACCAGAAGACTCCAGAGCAGTCTGATCAAAGGACCAGCAATGTAATCATACCAACCCTAAAAGAAAGATGACATTTTATATTAGAGCACTGTACTGTTTCATGCAACAGAACCCCTCTAGACACTTCCATAATTTTACCACACATCAGTCAGATCTAAGCTGGAAAACAGTGCAAAAAATAAAGGTTCTTCAATGGTTCAGTGGTTCTTCAGTGTCCGTTGGGATTCCTGGAATAACTATTCACCAATAAATCAGAAGTATTATGAAGGTTCTCTTGGAGTGACAAAAAGGTTATTAAAAAGCAGGTGAGCTGCGCACGCAACATTTTTGCGATAGAAAATGCAGTATTTTCAAGCAGTATAGACAAAAAATGACATCATATGCGAACATGCAAGTCCACAAGCCAATGTACCAACAATCTCGGTAAGTCACTTTCTATTTCTAACAATATTACTTCTGATGTGTTTAATGAGAAATTAGATATGTATTTTCACGGCTTGAAATTAT